TTCAGTACTATTTCATATTGTTTTACAACACATGGTTTTAGTCCTCTGGTGGGAAAGACTTTAAAACAAAAGTTACAGCACTTACTTTTCTCAACAACTGAAATTTAGAATAGTGTGATTAAGAAAAATATGCGAACTGTTTTCAATTTCAAATTAATATTGAAATGCACAGGTTTAGAATTTTCTACAGTGAAAAGTTTGCGGAAATTCAGTGTTCAAAAAAGTATACAAAAGCTAGACGTTAAGAACGTATCCAATTAGCGAGCATCGGATTGCGAAGCAATCCGAAATGAACTGCGAAAGCAGTTCCGGGGGTTGGCGAGCGCCAGCGAGCTGGGGGCGAAGCCTCCTAGTTATTTAGAAACAGTGGTGGATAAAAATCTTCCAAATTGAGTTTATTAAACAGAGAATCACAATTGATAAACTACCACTTTAAAATATATATTTGTTGTCGGGAGCAAGTTGGCGTCTCTGCAATATTATTTGTCAGAGAAAAAAAAAATTTCGAATTCAACGTTTTTACTCACCTTATTGCAGAAAGATGCTCTCACATGTAAGACAGGAGCAGCTGATTGAAACATCCATAAATGTGGAACTTAAAGCCAATGTCTGAACAAGGGTACCACAAATTCTGGTTACAAAAACAGATCCCAATTTTATATCCTGCATTATGGGTAATTGTATAGAAATTGTTGTCAGCTTTACAGTCTTCCTAATTGGTAGAACATTGCCTCAGTGCCGTTATGAACCTCCTCATAAAAAAGAAACTGACTAGAAATTAGTGCTCGTGGGGATTTGCAGTTACTACTCACAAGCATTTTGTCGGACATGAATACACTCATACAACCAAGTCATTATTTTTTCAAAAATTTTACTTTAAACAAAAGTTATGATTTTTATGAATATTTCTTCAACAATTTTGTTTTTAAAATTTGTAATTTTTAGACTATGCATTTATGTAGCTTTTTCTCTTGAGGGTCATGTGGAAAGTTTTGACTATAAAAAAGGGTCCATGGATCAAAAAAGTTTGGGAACCACTGATTTACAATAATCTGAGCTGCTGTGACGTCAAAGGAGGTCCGCAAGACTTCCGCTTTCTTTATAGGATTCAGGAGGAATAAAGAATCAATGATTTGAACATAAGTTTAATCTATTAATGCGAAGCCACAAGAAAGAGTCTTTGTGTGAAAAACATCAATAAGCAGAAAAAAAAATGGTACTACGCATTTGTTTAAAGCAAACGAGTATTTCTTTCAATTACTTTAACTTTATAAAACCCCCTAACTTTAACCTATCACATCATTTGACAAGCATGACACATCATGTATTTATTTGAAATAAATAAAAAGAGGTGGCAAAGTTTTTGAAGAGATACTGCATTGATAACTACGACATCTTATAAACGACAAAGCTTTTAGCATAGCTGCCAACTTGAAAGTCCTAGTTTACCAGAATATTTAAGGGGGTCTACAAATAACAATTTAAGGTAACTTAATTTGTTAATTCTTCTCGTACTTATAATCTCCACAGACAAAATTATATATATATATATATAT